TAGGCAGCTGCTAAGGAGGAGAGGGCTATATACGGACCTCATGGAAATATTCTCACAAAATACTGTTCAATTATGATAGCATACTTCCTTTGTTTGTAAGAAACAAACCAACATGACAGAAAGAAATCTAACTATAGGCAGTGAACACACAAGGGAGGTAGATGAGGTAAAAGGGGTCAAATATGTGGCGACAGAAAGAAATCTAACTATGGGCAGATATATATAATATATATATATATATGCCTTACTGCTGAATTGTACACCTGAAACACTGGATTTCGTTAACCAGTCGCCATAATAAAAATAAATAAATTAACTTTTAAAAACCCAACATAATGTATTACATGCAAATTTTTAAAAAGTCGAAGAGGATTTGGTATATATGCTAATTGCCTCCAAGGAGGGAGACAGTATGGGTAAACTCTCATTTTATTCTTTTTATGTATACAATAAACATAACTTTTATAGTTTACATATGTTTGTATATATAAAAGTATATCTAGAGAAGTAATCTTAAAAATTTTAAGTATACTTTTTAATAAAATAAAACAACCAAATGCATTTGATAGTCTGCTTGATCTGACAAGACCCCCGATAAGACACACAGCCCATGGAAGGCCTGGGTACCATGGAATAATGGTCAAGGTCATGGTCACGGCTTTCTGTCCTGACCCCAATCTCCAGCTCCACCACGCTCTCATTTCCTTCTGAAGGGTAGCGTGGAACCTCTGGGTTTCCCTCTATGCAGAGAACCTAACCTCTTTCCTAAGCTTGCTGCAAGGGTGACGCACCCCTTGCTTCCCTAAGGCCAGGGGAAAGACTGATAACTTAGTCTTTGATAGTTTAGCCAGTTAGAAAAGGGGTCTTGGGCTTACCTCTTTCAGGAGATAGCAGGCCCAGGACAGAAGTGTCAAAGGGAAGCCAAAGACAAAGCAATCCTGAGCTTCATTCAGCTGGTAAAGAGCTTAACTTATACGCAAACTGAAAGGCTAAATTTTTGCCCAAATCAGACGATGATTTTAACATAAGGGTAAAAGATGGTCTCACTGAGGCTTCCTGAAATGTTGCTATCTTTTGGATGTCGAGTGTAGAGAACTGAGGTAATCACTTGCCTCAGTTCCAGGCACTGACTTGCATCCTGTAATGAAAGGGGCAGATGTGCTTATCAGTCCTTCCGTGAGGTGGCCAGTGTGTAGATTCAAAGAGAGCCTGGGGTACCTGTGGTGGCCTCCTGGTTCTGGTGAAGGGAGAAAGGTCCATGCCTGGACAGAGAAGACTAAGTGACACAAGGCACAAGCAAGGGTCAGCTGTGGTCACTTGTGAGTACCTATGAGACATTCCATGGGCCTTCAGGATTCCAGAGATAGTGAGGAAGCCTGAGTCAACTTTGCCCACAGCCAAAGAAGCAACAGCCTGCAAAGTATATTTGAGGTTGTTGGAAAAGCCATTCAGTCTCAAAATATCTCCCTTATTATCCTGGCAGAGTTGCTGAAATTCAACCCCTAGAGATTCAGTCCTTTTGTTTGAGACTTCATGCATGTGAAATTACAAAGTAATTTCCCTGGCTTCTTTCCAACTTAGAAGGCATAGGTCAGAGAACATACACTTGAATATCAAGAAGGAAGTAGAAAGACCCCATGGGTCAGAGGCTCAGCACTAAAGAAAGGTTCCAGGTGAAAAGAGAAAGGTGCAAAGCTTTTTGTTTCAGCTAAGGTGCAGCACTGCATATAATAGTATTAGACCAGACAGATCTAACTGCAGAAGCCTTGTAATGATGCTTTTATGTTAAAAAAGAAAAAAAAAATGCTTTACGCACACACATATACACACAACTTCACATAACTGTGTTTGTTACCAGTCTCCTTATCTGTATCTGTTCAAGACGGCTTTAGATATTGATATTGAAGGCTGATTGGCCAGTTGATTTCATTCTAAGTAACAGACTTCTTAATTTTAAATTCTGTGGGGTCCTTGCTTTCGAAACCTGAGGTTTTTGTCCTCTGCTCTAACGAGCCCTGTAGGTGATTGTTAAAGCAGCCACTCAAACTTGGCTGTACCTTAAAATCACCTGGGACCTTTAAAAAATACTGATGTGCAGGGCTCATTCTCAGAGATTTTGCTTTAATTGGTCTAGTGTGGGGCCCAGGTATCAGCGGTTTCATGGCACTTAAATATGTATTCTAATGTCTACCCTAAGTTAAAAATGTTAAGACAGTAGACTCTCACAAGTACTGAATGTGGATTTAAGACATTTATAGTTGGCAAGAAATGGTTTAAACTTTAGAGGGCACATTAGGAATACACTGACATGGATTCTGCAGATTCTGTCCCTTCTGCAGAAACCAAAGGGAAGGGCCTGGCCGGGAGATTTGTGGCTGAGTCTGCAGAACCTCTCAGCTCTCAGCTCGAACTCCTTGTTCTTTAGCACCAGTCCTTGTGTTGCAGCAGACAGGATTCCCACCCTCCCTGGCCTCTCTCAGACTGGATCTCTGTTCTCCTGAGTCCCACCCTTTCCCCACCCCCTAGAAGCAGGCCTGACATCAAGTCTGTGGGCAGGAAGACCTGGATCACTCGTGGAAGTGAACTTGCCCATCTGAACGGAATCCTCGAATGCCATTCCCTCTCCCCATTTCCCTTTGGTCAGCGTTTCTGGCTGCTGTCCTTCCCAACACACTCTGCCCCACATGGCCCCTTCTCCAGGCCAGAGTCTTGGCCCATCCACCTGAGGCCATACTATGATGTGCTCGCTTTGCCCTTCAGGGCTGGGCACTCTGCGTACTTTGCTGTCTACATCGCTTGAAGAAGGTGTCACCCCTTCCTACATTTCAGAGACAGTGGCTCCTCCATATAAGATTCCTGGGGCCCTAGCTGCCCTGTGCCACGACCGTCCACAAGCCTGAGCTGACACTCAGCCCCACACAGAAAGGCAGTATGTTCTCGAGTCACAGCAGGAAGACGGTTTAAGAAGACATCATGTGGAATTTTATCTCTCCATCTTTTGTAACAGACAACGAACACTTCTTTTCTGTCACTCTTCAGTCTTACACAAGGATCTACATGACAAATTCCCAGCTGAGTTCATTCCCGGAAAAATTTTGTTCTGAAAATTAATTTGTATGCTCTCTGTTGTCCAAAATCCCAAACTATGCAATCCAGTGTATTTTTGTTTGTCTCTAAGCTGCCAGAAAATTTAGAGCCAGATTCATTGTCCAAGTGTTGTAATCTGCTAAATTCAGGCCATTCTAAATATCCATTCCTTTTGCTTTGCTTTGTTTTCCCCTGAGCTTTTCTGCACTTAGTTCTGGTCTAAGTTGCCTTACCCTGTGCCCAAGCCTGTCGCCAGGTTCCTCTTTATCTCTTGGGTCTTCCCATCCCACCTCACCACGGTCGTCACCCTGCGCTCAGTAACTCTGGCCTGGGTGTTGCAAGGTCATGGCCTCATCTTCCTCTAGATGTGAGCTCTCTAAGATACCAAACTGATCCTATCACCCCTTCTTCAGTGGGATCTTCCTTGCTTCCAGGAGCATTGTTCAACATGAACTCTCCCCACAAGCTGACTTTGCTGTTCCCTCAGCCTGAAAGAGCCTTCCCCACTTCGTTTTCTCCGTGAAAAGGTTTTCAGGGCTCTGCCCGGCTGGCAGTATCTACACTGCGGGGGTCCCCTGAGCTGGGAGGCCCTGCTCTGGGCTCCCCTAGCATGCAGCAGTCGTTGGCAGGCCAGACCAGGTCTGCTTTTAACGTTTTGACTATCTAACTGGGACAAAGAATTTCTGGAAGGAAGGGAGCTATCTTATTCTTCACTGTCCCTAACACCTAGCACATAGAACTGTAAAGTCAATGAATACACAACACAGCCAGGGTTCAAATCTTTTGAAACAAAAGGAATGCAGGCTAGCTTCTCTGCCAGCCTCCTCCCTACCCTTCCTCAAAAACAGTCAGTGTTTGCCCTTGACTTCAGGCAGAATTCTGCTCCATCCTAAGCAGCCCCACTAAAGACTTTCTACTCCACTTCTTTGGTGTGTTTAGTATTTGATAATGAAGCAGACATATTTTTGTTTGTTTGTTTGTTTCTTTTAGTAACCAGGAAAGGTGTAAGAGTTTAACAACACAATTATTGTAGAGTGTCTATCATAACCTTATTACCCAGGGCCATCATTATGGGTGTAATTTTGGGCATTAGAGAAGTCATATCCCCAAGCACATCTCAACACCAGCTAGAGTCCGCCAGCTCCTTCCCAACGACCAGCTGGTCGAAGCAGAGAAGGGGCGCCCTTTACCCCAGTCTGTGCTCCGGGAAGGCACTGCCTGGCTCCCCCGGCTTCCCCAGTGCAAGTTTCCCCTGCAGAGGTCTGGCTCTCCTTGGCGGTTTGAATCCAGCTCTCTGTGACCCTCCTAAATATCATTACATCCCGTGTTGTTAAGAGACTCCCCCCACCCGCCCCGCCCGGGTTCCATGGGCTCCCAACTCCATCCTTAGGGGAAAAGTGGGAGAAAGATCATGCGGCGGTCTTTACTTTCCCGCTTTGCCAAGACTGCAAATTCTGACCTCAGGGAGGAGGTCTGGCAGCTCAGCCACCCTCGGTGCTTTCTCCACACACACACACTCTCTCTCCTCCTCTCCCTCTCTTTTTCTCTCTCTCACGCCCCCTGGGACCCAGCACAGCGCAGGGCGGGGGCTCTGCCCAGTTTGTGCAAGTTTCCGAGGCGCGGGCCGGCGTCTTGGCGGCTCGGTCCCGAAATCATCCCGAGTCCCCGTTGGGACGTCTGCACAGCGCTTTGCTCACGTCCCTCAGGTCGGGCTGAAGCGCCTCAGTCCCCACGTCGCTCACGGGAAACCGAGCCTGCGGTCTGCAAAGAGCTGCTTCCCCGCTCCGCGGCAGCGCCAGCCGTCTCTTCCCTTCCCCCCGCCGCGCGTCCCCTCCTCGGTCCCCCGGTACGTCCCCTCCACGGTCCTCGGTCCCCCCACGCGTCCCCTCTTCCGTCCCCCCGTCCGGCCCTACCTCCAGTCGGGCCAAGGCTCCGCGGGCTCCGAGGCGCAGCTTGGGG